CAAGGGTAAGGTGGGAACCATCCAGGCCATTTCCAGGTTGCGTTGTAGGATGATGATCGACCGTTTCCTCGAGCATGTCCTCTGCCGTCACGGTATCCGCCACGAGCCCACCTGCCACCGCCACGGTATCCGCCACGAGCTTGACCACGACCATTGTAGCCAGAGTTTGGTGTAGATGAGATGTCAGGTGTAGCCGGTTCAGATTGTTGAGTGACGAGAGCGTGGGGAGTGGTGGAATCAGATTTGTTGTGCCGTGTTTCTTCAAGAAGGAGGGAGGATTTCGCTTTGTTGAAAGTGGGGAGGGGGTCGGTCTGTTGAATAATAGCGGCGACAGTGTCATACTCACCTTTGGTGAGACCGGATACGAGTTGAAGGACCATCTTGGTTTCGGATATAGGGTGCCGAACATTCTCCAGTTGATCTGCAAGGTTTTTGAGTCGAGCACAATAATCTGTGACATTGGAGAAGGAAGAGAGGCGGGTATTATTGAATTGTTCCTCAAGGTAAACGACACAAGCGGTTCGATTATTGATGAAAATTTCTTGAAGGTTTTTCCAGAGATCAAGGGCCGAGGCACCTGGTTTCATGATTGTGTGGGCAAGTTCAGGAGAGATAGTGCTATAGATCCATTGTTTGACAAGAGCATCAAGACGATCCCATGTGGTTTTGTCAACATCGGTTGGTTTTTTTGCCTCTTCATCGATGTGATCTTTGACATTGTAAGCACAAACGTCAATGTTAAAGAATTCCACCCATGATGCATAGTGATCATCAGTTTGATTGAGGATGAGGGGTATAACATTCTTGATATTACTGACTGTGAAAGCTGGATGGAAGTTAGTTTTGGGAATGGGTGTGTCGCCTTCACCCATGATCGATCCAAAGAAACAAGAGAAGAAAAAGAAAAGAAGAGATGTCAAAGAGATGATAGAGGGCGACAGAGTGGGTTAGGCCAGAGAAGGCTCTAATACCATAAAGATTAACGTGATTGAATTCCTTGATCTGCTCAATAAACATTAACCATATAAATATACAATTGGGCCCTATATCTATGGAAAGGATATCTATACAATATTATACATATACAATATGATCTATCCCGTATATATCGACTAAGACAAATTATTAGTAATTATACTTATATTCTCACAATATACGAACTACACCAATTTTGTTTAATTTTCATCAAAATGAACAAATTAAATTTACAATTTAGGAAGTTCACTCTTGTTGATAAATGGAGAGAGAGGTCACCGCTTGCGATCTAAAGCATAGGCCATCAAATATCGATCACTTGGCCTCATGAGATGGCACCTTAATTAGACTCAACATGAGAGAGAGGTCACTGCTTGTGATCTAAAGCATACGCCATCAAATATCGATCGCTTGGCCTCATGAGATGACACCTTAATTAGACTCAACATATGTAATTGATATGATTGTGAGAGGGAACTACGTCATCAACTAATATTTTTGTGAAGGTACGCAAAAAGAAAAACCAAACTAGTTCAATTATCATTTTGCTGTTATTAAACATGGCTCTTTATCATGCATGTTATCTTTTAGAAACACAATCTGCTCACTTTATTTAAACATATAACGTGTGATCATTTTAGATTAATGTTGAATTTTGGAAAAAAAAAATATGTTAGCTAGGAGAGGAGCTTAAGGCAAACTAAGCCTCCTCAAAGTTGGTCAGGATAAACAGTGCCATGCAACTCTCAATCAGGATAGACATATGATCTGCAAAACCTAGATAAAGTTATAGGAAAATTAGAAAAATTGGAGACCACTAAACAAAAGAGGTTTCTTTAAGATTTATCGTTCAAACTCAAACATGGTAGATGCAAAAGAACACAGATAAAGCGAAGGGTATGCATACTAGGATATTTCTATTGGTGGATCACTTACGGAATTTATGCCTCTTTATTTTGGAAGGAATTTTGAAGATTACTTTATTCATTAGTTTACTCATTTACCTGTGATTTTGTTGAATACTAATTTAGCATAGATTTTTCAACCTTTATGAAAGTGGAATTCCTTTAAGATGGAGCTGGTATTGTGTGGCCACTGGCCTACACTCGTGATGACAGAACCTGTTTCAGTTGACCACTTATGGCGTATGAAGAAAAAAAAAACTTTTTCAGATAATCTTTTCACATTCTTTCTTGAAATTTTATTATTGGTTAATATCCTAATCCTTTTTCTTTTTTTTGTAACCATGGTAAAAGGTCATGTTCATTGCTTGTAGAAGTTGTTTAGATTTTTGCAAATTTGTTTATCACTATCATTATTCTGATATTACATCAATGGCTTACATCAACTACCTTGCATGTTCGTTTACAGCCTGCCACTCTTGGTTGGCCACTCTGTGCCGATGTCAACCGTTGAATAGAAAACATGGCTAGTAGTGACTGATGTAGATTGAGGAGTTATACTCACCACAGAATGCAAACATGAAAACAAATAAATCATGTCATCATGGCCAGAAAGAAATACAAAATCAATTGTTAGGTATATGCTTAAATTTTCAACTACCACTCAAATTTGTTGACAGACATTTTAATTTCAGTTGAAATAAAGGGAAAAATCAAGGCTTCAGTTTGGACATTAAGAAAATTTATAATGCTACTGAATCTGGGTGAGGGATCATTAGTATCTTAATTATGTCTTTTAAGAGGGAACATCTAAACATTAGTTTAAATATTAAAAGGCTTCGGTTATTATACTACATCAACTATAATTACTTGCGTTTTGTTTTTGTTTTTTTTTTGTTCTTTTGTTTTTTTTTTTTTTTTTTTTTTTTTTTTTGCTTTTGATTATTCATATTTGATTTTTAACGATGAGATGACACATAATCAACTGTTATATTTGCAGGCTTTCTAATCAGATATTTGTTTATTTACCAACTCATTGAAGGTTTCAGCTTGTTAAAGGATTGCAATAACAATTATATGTATTTCAAGTTATTTGAAAGTTCAATTACATGTCAACAGACTAATTAGTTTAACAAGCAGTAGGAGGTTCATTTTCTTACAACATCATGATTCCAGGAGCCTCTTACAGAATAAAAAAAAAAAAACGATTATGATCCTAAACATCATTATCCTTGCATAGATTTGCACTTCACTCTTCCTATATATTACACTTAGTGATGGAAAATCTAGAATCTAGATGACCTAAAAGATGTCCGAATCAGGTAAACTTCTACACAATTCTGAGATCTAAAAAATATAAACCATTAGCAATATGTGTCTCTAGTCATGATGCAAGATAAGTGGATATGCATCCATTCTGAGATTAATATATCCAACACATTGAATAAATAATTAATAACAAAGATGATTTCCATCTCACTGTTCAACTAATTATTAAGTTGGACTCCATGTCACAATTCAATTAATCTAGAATTTAGTCATCATTTCTATAATTGGCCATAGTTTAAGAGTAAATAGCGATAACATATAGTGACATGCACAACATTCTTTAATTTCTTCTCTTTGATGATGAGATTCCATGAAACATATTGTCTTTCGGGTAAACGTCACTTGAACTGTACCATGCATCTTATCTAGTCGATTCGCCACGATTTAAAGTGCGTCAAGTCTTTTCTTTTTTATATCTTTTCACAGTTTTTGACCTTCTTACAGTACCATTGATTTCCACAACAATTGCTCTTTTTTAATTATGTTAAATGCAAGAAACAACATCATGCTTTCATTGATTTAGTTATTATATATAGCATCCTACTTCCATTTGTTCCTATCACATCATTGTACTTTAAAACATCCATTAAGTTATGGCAATGTTATCCAAATACAAAACAACTTTCACTTCTATAATTGGATAGAATTTTCAAACTATAATGTCCTAGTAATTATTATTTCAAAGTACAATGCTATAATTGAGTAGATTTTTCCAAACTACAAGCCTCCATAAGAAGAGAATTAAAACTTAAACTACAATTCTCTAGAAGAAAGAAATGAAAGTGGGATAATATACTATAATATTGAATAAATGAAAGTACGTTGTTGTTTCTTGCATTTAACCATTTTTTTTAGAATTTTCCTTTCTCTATCTTGTCATAGCCATTGAAGAACAAATTAAGGCACTATCCCCATTATTGTTCATTTGGAGCTCTTGCAAGTATCAAATAACAAACTGTTGCTTTCGGTGATTTCTTCGGTAAAATGATTTACCTTTCTACTTTTGTTAAAATATAATTAATGGATAAACTCTACACTTTTGTATATTGATGCTTTTACTTGATTTAGTCCAAGGCTACCTAGTACACTAGATGTGTGCGCCATTGGTTTTATTTACTTAATTTGTTGCAAGGCGTGAGGCCTAGTGGACTAGCTAGCCACCTCCACCAAGTCGTTGTTTGGCCAACATATGGCAAAAAAGATGAAATATAGAGAATAATATCCTAATAAATTATGAGTAAAAATTGTACTTAATTATCTTTGTTCCATATGCATATTGTCAATACAACATGTCCCTGGGTTCACCCAATAACCACTGTCCACCCTTACCCCCACCCACCCACCCACTCCCACCCCCCACCAGGGAATGGATGACATGCCATGTTTGCACTTTCAGAGTCAGCGGTGAATAATAAACAATATCCTCATTTCGTCTTTTACTGAAAAAAAAAACTAGAAAGGGGAGTTGGAAAAAGATGTTCAATTCCTGGAAAGGCATTATTTTGTTTCCGGATTCATATTAAGCATATATTCTGTTCCAAGTACGTTAATCAATGGTCTTACCATCCTTATGTTATAAATCTTTTTTATTAAAATTATATCACGTGATTAGGGGCCCACATCCTACACTAATTAATGGTGGCCTGCACAAAGAATTTATGCAAGAAAAGCTCTATGTCAGATATCATAAGCATCTACCTATACAAAAGACAATTTTCCACGTGGCTCTTGATCTTTGATTAATGGTTGCTTATAAATAGATTTGTGGGTCTTTGTTTCTTTTATCCTTTAGCAAGAAAGTTGTATCTGAGCTTGTTTTCTGCTCCTTATGGCTTTCATACTAAACATGACGTCAACCCTTTTGAATATTACTCTTCCTTTATTATTTTTATTGTTATTATTATCATTGGAGAGAACTGTTTTTGTAGTTGCTAGGCATGGACAATGGTCCAATGAAATGAAATCAAATATCCAAAACAATGAAGATCTTGTTACCAATTTGCCTGGTCAGCCTAACGTTGACTTTCAACACTATGCTGGATATGTCACAGTAAATGAAAATAATGGAAGAGCACTGTTTTATTGGTTCTATGAAGCTTGGACTCTTCCAGATGAGAAACCCTTGGTGCTTTGGCTTAATGGAGGTAAGAAAATATCAAACTATTCATAGAAATTAATTAACCTTTCTTTCATGCTGAATTATATTAATTATTACCCTCTTCTAGATATTTGGTCTCAGATTTCTACAACAATATTCTTTTGACAAAATCTATCCATGCTTTTATCTGAACATATCTTTTAAAGAACGTGTTAAAAAAATAAGGCTTTTTGTGAAGATGCTCTTTGTTCATTTTAATAAAATCCAACCAATTAAAGAAATAAGCTTTTAAAGGACTAATTTATTGTACAAAGAAGATATTCTTCTGAGAAATTGTAAACAATTAAGAAGTGTTGGTGTGAGGTCAGTCTTTATTAATATTTAATTCACCCACTTAGTTATGAACAGTTATTAGTTTGGAGTTTGATTCTCCTCCTGTGCCCTTTTTGGTGACACCACATGGCTAAATGTTACAGGTCCCGGGTGTTCTTCTGTGGGATATGGAGCTACACAAGAGATCGGGCCATTCATTGTGGGTACAGATGGAAATGATCTTCAGTTAAATCCATACTCATGGAATAGAGGTATCTTTTTAGCATAATTATCAGCTTAATTGGGATGTACATTCTAGCTGATGGATTGTGTTTTCTTTTTTCTTCTTATAAAAGATTGTATATTCTTTATGTAATGGGCATCGTTTTAATCTTGTTAATTTGTGGTGCAGAAGCCAATATGTTGTTCCTGGAATCTCCTGTTGGAGTTGGCTTTTCCTACTCCAACACAACTAGCGATTATGAAAACCTAGGAGACGATTTCACTGGTCAGTCTTATCGACACATTTAGCTTCTATATATGATATAAAATGTGTGTGTGTGTGTGCATAATACCTCTAGCCCTATATATTGATTACTCAATGTTTATATAATTAGCACTGACTTGTTATATTCATATTAATTATATCAGCAAATGACACTTATGCTTTCCTGCATAACTGGTTCACCAAGTTTCCCTCTTATCGGACAAGAACATTTTATATTGCTGGAGAGAGCTATGCAGGTAAGTTTGGTCACATTTCACCAATATATCCTTTTAAAAATCCTAAAAAATGACATTTACGTCATCTTATGTAGGAAAATATGTGCCAGAGTTGGCAAATCTTATTTACGATAAAAACAAGGATCCTTCCCTGTTTATCAATTTACAAGGGATATTGGTATTGTTTTTATAGTTTCCAATCTATTTAGGTTACATGCAAGTTTTACGGGTTTATTCTATTTTTTTTGTTATGACGAACCGGTTAATTAATTGGCTATATCTATGGTAACTGCAGTTAGGTAATCCGGAAACAAGTGATGCTGAAGATTGGAAAGGTCTGGTTGACTATGCTTGGAGCCATGCTGTTGTATCAGATGAAACTCACAAAACCATAAGAGAATCATGCGATTTTAACAGTAATGACACTTGGAGCAATAATGACTGCAGCCAAGCTGTAGATGAAGTTCTCCGACAGTATAAAGAAATAGACATCTACAGCCTCTACACCTCCGTTTGCATTGCCAATTCAGCATATTCACAAAACAATGCACTTCAAGTCATGTTCAAAAGGACCACATCCGCTAAAATGGTAAGCACTTTGAAATTTTGTTTTTTTAAGCTAATTAGCCTTGTGCATGTCGTCGTGCCCCAGCAGTATCATATATATAAAAAAGGAAAACCATGGTGCTCTAGGTGGCTGACATAATGCATTGATATATCATAATGGATGGTCATATCACCATTTCAACTTTTATTCGATTTAACTTATATATAACCCCTTTACTCATACATTCAACTTTACAAAGTTTGATGGATCCATAAATTCTCATCCTATTTTATTTGTAAAGTTTAATGGATCCATACATCCTCATCCTTTTTTATGAAGGCAAGAAGATACTTACATAAAAAAACAAGGCCTCTAGTGAGAAGCTAGGAGGGAACTGCAAGAAAATATTTGTACAGTTGGATGGATCCATACATCCTCATCCTACTTAATCTCCTTTCTCATATATATATATATATATATATATATATATATATATATATATATATATATATATATATATATATATATATATATATATATATATATATAACTGTTTATGGAAAATAAATATTATATTACTGAAAATTTAAATATATAACAATTTACATGCTATAATAAATTTTAACATAAAAGGTACAATATTTGAAATTGTTATCACGACATCCACAATGCATTGAATTCCATAGAGTTCAATGGATTACTACATCATTTTCTTACATTTCATATAACTCTATATATTTTTTTTCAACAATGCATTGAATTAGAAAAGCTAATTTATAGTATATATATTTAAGAATTATAAAAAACTTTTTTTTTTCTATTGAAGAGTTCAATTACTTGAACTCCAAATCCATTGAATGCCAATGTGACATCTCAACGTTTAATCCATTGTATGCTCTCATTGATTATATTATTATTATTATTATTATTATTATTGTTATTATTATTATTATTATTAATTTATAAAGTTATATGTTATTTTATTTTTCAACAAATAAAATATTACATAATAAAACAAAATTACATATTTTCTAAAAATAATATGATTTATTTAATGATTTGTATTTCGTTTAATTATAAGGACAGGCCCCACAACGAATGTATTCAAACTCTTCAACCCCACTAACTTGAACATCCAACTACTGATCATATCATTCAATCTCTTATAAAACGTCAAGTCGTCCATTGAACCTCACTTCAACAAGTATTGTACATGCACGGATGTCCTAGCTAGAAAGTACTCCGGTTATTGGAACTGAAATTCCTGACTGCTAATAGAATTATAAAAAATTGACACCAATTGGAACCAAGCAGTACTATATCGTAACACATACAATAGTTGGCATTATTTGGGGCCTTAAAGAACAACAAACAAGAAAATTAAAGCTATCATTGTATTTAATAAAACAAGTTTTCTAATGTTTTTTATTTGTTTAGATGCCACGAATACTTGCGGGTTATGATCCTTGCCTTGATGATTATGCAAAAGGTTACTACAATAAACCTCAAGTTCAGAAAGCTCTTCATGTTAGCAACGGCCTTCAACTAAAAAACTGGAGCATTTGCAAGTAATGAATACAGCTTTCTTCAACTATATATTTCAAAAAAATTTACATATTACTTAGGAACTTATGGTTGTATGGCACTACGTATTGCAGTATGGACGTATTCTATGGGTGGTCACAGTCGAAAGATTCAGTTCTTCCCATATACAAGAAACTCATTGATGCAAAACTTAGGATATGGGTATACAGGTGATTGATGAGTGATGTTGTATAATCATCTCATATCTGCAAAAATTCTGTTTATTTATTATCAAATAATTTGTGATTATGGGTTTAATTAACAGTGGAGATACTGATGGAAGAGTCCCTGTATTGTCCACAAGATACAGCTTAAGCTCCCTCAACTTGCCTATATTGAGGCCATGGAGGCCCTGGTATAACCAGAAGCAGGTAATGTTTTGTAGGTCTAATCTTTTTATAACAAAGGCATTCATGTCTTTTGCATACAAAAGATGGATGGTGATTCTTTGTCCCATATTTTTTCACCTTTTAGGATAAGATTATAAATAATAGTCTTTGTCCCTCACATAATATTTTTTTTATGATTGTTTAGGTTGGTGGTTGGGTTCAAGAATATAAAGGGCTAACTTTCGCAACATTTAGAGGAGCGGGTCATGCAGTTCCCATTTTCAAACCTAGGGAATCGCTTGCATTCTTCACTTCATTTCTTCTCGGAGAATCTCCACCGTCCCAACGATAAGTTGCCTATTGATATGAGAGCCCCTTCACACTTTCCCTACAAAAGATTTTGCTCTTTCTCTATATATATTTACATATAATTATTAGGTTGCATGCAATATAAGGGTTATCGTACACGAAGAGAAGTCCTTTTGAAGTTAGTTTATCTAGAGCTTAAAGGAAATAAATTAATGGGGATCCTATAAATATGTTATACAGTTATAGTACCATACGATCGTCATAGTTTCCGATTGTTTTGTAAACACCAATGGTAATATATGAATCTTGCGCATGTTGGTTATTCAAAACATATTACAAGAATTAAGCATAAATAATTAAAATAGACATGTTAAATTTGTATATTTACCTTTCAGATTGACATTATCACTAATGATAATGTAAAATTGATCATGTCTAATGGCTATTTTAACATCCAACCCACCACACAAACAACTAACATTTTCGTCAAATTGTTATTTCTGATCATCTCGTCATTTTCTAGAATGTGTCCAAACAGACACACACTTTAACTAGTTTACTCTGACATTTTTGAGGTAGTCATATTTGACAAATAAAAAATTACTTTGTAAATTATTTTTTAAAAAAATAAATAAAAATAAAATAAAATTCTAGCCAGATAATGTTTCACCGAGCTAATACAGTTTTTCTAAATTGTTTCCAAATATATTATTTATTTGTTTTAAACGACAAGAAATTATTAGAAGGCCGTAGCGAGAAGTTAGGGAACAACAAAGCCCATGGGTCCCGATTGAAATTCATAAACCCTTTTTCCATACACTTAATCGAATTAAACGCCAAATACTTAACATCAAAAACTAACTTGGGAACTCCATTAGTCTAACTATTGACACTAGTATAAAAAATGGTCTATGGTGACGACAAAAAAACGGTGACTATATACATTCGTGAACATGAACATGAAGAGAGTTCGATATTCCTTCCGATATTATCTCAAAAACTTTGGCTTGTCGCCTTAAAAAGGTTATCGGGTCTATTATTAGTATCGAGCAATCATCATATGTTAGCGGAAGGAATATCGAGCAATCTCATTCACCACTAACGGTCCGTCCATGATATTCCTTCCGCTAACATATGATGATTGCTCGATACTAACAATAGACCCGATAACATTTTTAAGGCGACAAGCCAAAGTTTTTGAGATAATTTTCGTGATGCACCCAATAAGATTAATCGGCCTATACTCCATAAGGTTGACAGGGTCATTTGTTTTGGGAACCAGAGAAATGAATGACGCATTACTACCTGGGTTTAAGACCTTATGAAGTTCAAAATATTTCACCGCCTCCACCACATCACCCCCAATAATATCCCAATAATTCTTTATGAACTTAAAGTTGAAGCCATCTGGACCTGGGCATTTATCATTACCACAATTCCACACGACATTTTTAATTTCATCAGTCGTGAACGTCGAATCCAGGTAGTTCCGATCTAGGTCTGTAAGGATTCTGAATTTAGAACTTATGAAGGTCGGTCTATAGGGAAGATTTTCTTTGAACTTGTTCTTGAAGAAATTAAAAACCTCATTTTTATGCTTTCCGGATTGGTAGTCCACACCCCGTTGATGTTTAAGCCATTTATTCGAGCTCTCTTCATGTTCATGTTTCCCTATAGACCGACCTTCATAAGTTCCAAATTCAGAATCCTTACAGACCTAGATCCGAACTACCTGGATTCGACGTTCACGACTGATGAAATTAAAGATGCCGTGTGGAATTGTGGTAATGATAAATGCCTAGGTCCAGATGGTTTCAACTTTAAGTTCATAAAGAATTATTGGGATATTATTGGGGGTGATGTGGTGGAGGCGGTGAAACATTTTGAACTTCATAAGGTCTTAAACCCATGTAGTAATGCGTCATTCATTTCTGTGGTTCCCAAAACAAATGACCCTGTCAACCTTATGGAGTATAGGCCGATTAATCTTATTGGGTGCATCACGAAAATTATCTCAAAAACTTTGGCTTGTCGCCTTAAAAAGGTTATCGGGTCTATTGTTAGTATCGAGCAATCATCCTATGTTAGCGGAAGGAATATCATGGACGGACCGTTAGTCACTGGCGAAGCTGGGTACGGGCTATTCTTTCATCCTTGAAGGTCTCGGTTCTGGTCAATGGATCCCCTACCAAAGAATTCTTTTTAGAAAAAGGGATGAGACAGGGAGATCCACTCTCCCCTTTTCTATACATTATTGCAGCAGAGGGTCTCAAAGTCGTTTTGGAAGAGGCTATACAAAAAAGGATCTTTGAAGGAATTGAGATGACTAATGAAGGGCCAAATATATCCCTTTTTCAATATGCCGATGACGCCATTTTCTTGGGGAAATGGTCTAAGGACAATGCTAGAAATCTTCAAAGAATCCTTACTTGCTTTCACCTTGGGTCTGGTCTTAAGGTGAACCTTCGGAAGAGCAAGATTTTAGGTATTGGAGTTTCTAGAGGAGAGGTATCATCTATGGCTCGGTTGTTGAAGTGTCATGAAGGCGAACTTCCATTCTATTATCTTGGTATGCCGGTGGGTGGAAAGTCTTCTAATGTGCCGACTTGGGTTCCTCTTATTGACAAGTTCCAAAAAAAACTTTCAATGTGGAAAGCAGGAACTCTTTCCATAGGAGGGAGACTAACGTTGATAAGGTCCGTTCTTGGTAGCCTTGGAACATTTCTCTTTTCGCTTTATAAGGTCCCTAAAAAGGTAATTTCAAAGCTCGAAAGTATCCGTAACGGATTCTTATGGGGTGCGTCCTCGGATCAAAAAAAGATCACCTGGATTGCGTGGCAGAAAACCATGAACTCCAAAGCTTTAGGGGGCTTAGATATTGGAAGCTTACGAGCATGTAACCTTGCTCTTATCACTAAGTGGTGGTGGCGCTATAAAGATGACACAGAAGGAATTTGGAAAAAGGTTATTACTTGCATTTATGGGGATCAAGGAGGGCTAGGAGTGACGATACCCTTGGGTAAAAGGAATACAGTTTGGGGCAGAATAACCAACGTGTGTAAGGATCTGGAGCCTTTCAATATTGATCTCAACACACTTTTCTATAGAAGAAATGATTATGGGGGTAATTCCAATGGTAGTAAGTGGTGCTGGAGTCTTGATGCTAGTGGCGATTTCACTGTATCTTCCCTTAGGAAAGAAATTGACAAAAGCTTCTTGGAGTCTACCAATACGCCTACGGTTTGGACTAACATTGTTCCAGGGAAAATCAACATTTTCATATGGCGTGCTAGACTTGGTAGATTACCGACGAGAGCTAACCTTGCTCGGAGGGGGGTGGGTATTCCAAGTACGTTATGCCCGATGTGTAATGCGTTTGAGGAGAATGAAGATCATATATTTAAATATTGTTCAACCACTAGGGAGTTGGGAGCACTTCTACGCTTGTGGTGGAAGGATGCTCTCAATGAAAATGACTCTCTGGACAACCTCATTGGAGTAAACTCAATCCACAAAAAAAGGCAACAGAAAGAAATATATCATGGATGCGATCTCTAGGGCCTTCTTATGGGTTATTTGGACGTACAGGAACGGTTTGATCTTTAATAGCAAAGTGAAAAACCCTTCTCTTCTTGCTTTTGATGTCAAAGCTTTAGGGTTTTTGTGGCTTAAAAATAAAACTAAGTGGGGGAGATCTTTGTCTTGGGACTCATGGGTTGATAACCATATCTATTGTAGCTTGTAATTCCTTCTTCTTGCTGTTTTTTAATAAAGTCTTGCTGTTAAAAAAAACATTGTGACAAGTTTTATTTTTTCATTCAAAGCGTGAAATGACTGTGTAACCGATGATAAGTTATGGTGAGTATAACTCATTAAAGACCACTGTAAAAACCATCACTGTATGGTAACAATTTTGTAGGGTTTTTTTTATTTAAATTTTATTTATTTTTATTTATTTTTGTCGAATTTTATTAAGTATTTTATATGATAATATGTGGATTCTACATTTATGTAATTTTTTTTGTAGATTTAAATACTGTTTTTTTATAGATTAGCAAAAATATTAAGAAAAAACGTTTTACCAACGACATGCAGTAGTAGCGACGAGATACAATAGGACGGTGACTGTTAATTACTTACAATTACATTTTTTTGCAAAGTTTTTTTTTTCTGAAAAAATACATTAAATAAAAACATAATACAATTGCAACCACAATCATATTAAACATTAATATATAAAGTATCCAATAGAAGTTTAACAAAAATGACATCTACTATCTAATACAATTACTTATCCATTGTTCCGCCTCTTCGTCACTTGTACTAGGGTAAATATCTGGCATATGTTAATCAACGAAATCCACTACACACCACAGGGGTAAACATGTCTAGCATACGATAATAAACACCATAGCCATGAATCAACACAATAGATTGTTGGAATCCTAAGTCGATGAGGACTTGGAGACCAAGCAATCTAATTTATGGCAAGTCTAGTTTATGGCAAGTTGGTCGTAAGTTTTCTATTCCAATACAAGTTGGTTTGTTAGGATATATATACATGTCCATAATCGAGTTTATGATTATGAGAACAGATTGTAAACATTGGTTTTGAGTTAGTTTCTAATTAATCAAAGAGTTATTTTGATTATTTTGTTTTGCATTCTTGTTTTCTAAACTTTAATTGGTATCAAAGCGAGGTGAAGACGGTGCCGGTTTGAGATTCGGTTTTAAGAAAAGTGTAGCCCTTTGCTGAGGGGCAGACGCAGCAGGAACCGGGTTTGGTTTAAGGGGTGTGGATTGTTTTTGAGCGCAAGTTGAAGCATCTCAACAACAGCCTCGGTTTCTCTTAATCGAGCTTGTGAGAGACTAACCGGAGGCGCGTAATAAACGGACGGGAAGACGTAAAAGCGGGTGACTTTGAATCAGTTCGTTTTGCGGGTGACGGAAGACGATAAAGGTGGTCGTTACCTTGTCTTGTTGTTTGGTGGAAAAGTGCTCTCGGAACAAGCTTGATTAAAGAGGTCGGGGTGGTGAAAAGAGATAATAGGATGTTGATCGGGGTTGAAGAATTCTCTATAAGGACTTAGAGATTCGGTGTAACACCAGTCAAAATAGGTCAATAACAATCACATGTGATTATACCAATCATGTAATGTGATTTTGTCAAAACAGGTAATGTAGTAAACTCACTATGTATTTCATGATAATTCTAATATAAATATGAACTTCCATACATACTTTATAGTATAAATCAAAGTATACGTCCATACGATTCCAAAAATATAGAGAACATCTAAATCTGATTTCGCGTGAAGAAGTTATGATAAACCGAACACTAGAAAATCTCTATAACAAGAGGAATTTAAAATAGGATTAGAATTAGCTATTGGAATATAATAGAGATTTGTAGTACTCAGAATTACCTACGCATGGATATAAAGAACGTCAAAAACGGAGTTCGTATGCAAAAGTTATGACCTTCCGAAGATGCAGCTGTCTTAGAGCATGACACGTGGCAGGAAACCCTAGCTATCTGGATTCATGACGTGAAAGTAGTCTAGGACACATTTCGAAGCTAGAAAACACGTACGAAGTCTACGGGAATGAGGTGTTCAATCCTCACGACGTGAACATCAAAGACACGACGTGAAACTAGAATCGTGACACCTTCCGAAGCTAGGACGCAAATGGCAAGTCTACGACATGTCTCAGATCAAATTCACGACGTGAACCTCAAGTTCACGATGTGAACTTGTCTTGGACAGCCTATAAATAGCCAATCCGGCCACCTCTGTCACAATTGGCATTTTTGCCAGGAAATTCTGTGATCATGTAAATGTCATCTATGATAATATTTGAAACTCTAACTTGTTATCATACACTATGTTCATTCTATGACAACAAACTTAGTCAAGATCCATTTGTAGTTCAAAACTCTATGCAAAACATTTCATAAAGTCAATTGGGAGTTGAAAACCTAAAAATCCCGGTTCAAGTCCTTTATGGACTAGGATTTTCTTATTGGGCCTAATGGGCCAATAAGCCTTCAATTCGAATATTTTGGGCTTAGAAACCCTATTTGGATTCTAAATGGACCCAATTCATAAATCTATAACATTTTGGACCATTTGGGCCTAAAATGTGACAATCCGAAATTTCTATCTTGTACAGTCATTCAATTCAATCAAAGTCAGACTTGTTTCTGCTATCTTTTAGCATTGTTAAGGGTCTGTTTGAGTGTCCCAAGCCTAGTACATTCAAGGATTGAGTGTTAGGAAGTATCCGAGAGTTCAGTGTGCAACATTCAAGCCGGAAAACTCCAACATTTGGAGTTTACGGACGTAATCTCTAGGCTGGACGTGAACTCCTCCTTTATGGAGGATAATCCTTCATTATTCTTCATTTCTTACACTTTCAACTCAAGAACTCTCAACTCCCTCTCAAGTATCATCAAGATCACTTCGATTTCCTGACAAATTTGTAAGTGATTCTTCTGTTTATTAGTTGATACCTTTCATAATCTAGTAAAATCCCTTGATTTCATCTGTGAAATCACCTCTTTTGGGTTAGATCTCCAAGAACACCAAGAACACACACTAGCTCTTTGGACCGTGAACACCCCCTTCAAGCTTCAAAACATAAGTATCCTTTCTATATACTAGTTTTCCATTAGAAGCTATTGAATTGCACCCTTGAAATCAACCACTTTAGCTTAATCATCAAGAGTTTACAGCCATAACATCTCCTTTGGCCGTAAACCCTTCTCAAGAAGATCAATGGCCGTGAACATACTTGGCCATAAACCCTAGCTTCTTCTTGTATTGGCCGTAAACTCCCATGGCCGTAAACTCCCTTGGCCGTAAACACCTTGGCCGTAAACACACTTGTGTGGCCGTAAACCCCTTTAGTGCAATCATATGTGATTGTAACACTTCAATCTAAGTGTTTCCTAGTCCCTAAGGTGGTTTCCTTGCATAATTAGTTGTTATATACACTAATTATATACATATATGTATTATTATATGCTTAATAGGATCTGTTTGTGCTCGAGGATTCACTTGACACTTAGCATCCTATATCGAACTTACATCCTTATCACTCACTACATGTGAGTTCATACCCTTAAATTATCTTTTAAATGATTTTAAATGCTTTTATGGGGGATGATACAAGTAGAAAACATTATAGTTATTATATCAATCACATGTGATTAATAACTACCAATCAAGTAGATTTCTTATTCTTCAAAACTATGTTATCAAACTGTTTCAAAAACCTTTTTATAAACTGACATCAAGTCATCTATAGCCATTCAAATGGTTAAAACTCTTTTATATGTTAAATTCTTTATTAAACTCTTTTAAACTTATATATTGTCAAAATCATGTCTATATGGATATAGTTATATAAATAAGGTTGAAAAGGCTTAGTGTCACAACTAGGAATTTTGATGCTTGTAACTACAACAATTATATCAATTATGAACCAACAATGTGAAAACATGTATGATGCTTATTCAATAACAACAAAACTTCAATCCAACACTGTATTCAAGCACTGCAAATAGTTAAGAAAGAATTGGAAACCCTTGAAATCCCGGTTTAAGTCCATTTTGGACTAGGATTTCCTTATCGGGCCTAATGGACCAATAAGCTTCCAATTTAACTATCTTGAACATAGAACTCTCAAATGGGCCCTAATTAGACCCATATGCTTGAAACTTAATATTTTGGGCTTTATAAGCCTAAAATGAACTTGGTTGTCTTTAATGGGCCTTATTGGATCACAACAAATTTAAATAGCCCTAATGGGTCATAAAAATCATTCTTAAAATTTAATTGGGCCAAAAATCATCTAAGTGAATCATAAGATGGGCTTAAGAGCAAAAAGCCCAATATTCTTTCTTTCCCCTCTCCTTTTCTCGGCCCAACAACCCAAAAGAGAAATGGTTGACTTTCCATTGCCACCTCACCATTATCTCTTGGGTTTCCATGCAAAAACTCATGTTCCCATGCACACATCACTTCATTCACTCTCTCTTCTCTCCTCTCTCTTTTTCTCTCGGCCGAAACCAACACAAACACACACACCTCACCAAAAAATTCTCCCTAAAATCACTCTCAAGATCATCCTCTTCTTCTTTGAAGATCTCGAAAATTTGGCTTGAAGTCTAAGGATTTTCATCAAGTAGTTCACATCCTTGGTAAGTTATTGCTTTGATTCATAACATATCTTCTTCATTTCATCAACAATCTCCCTTATCTCATACAAAATTCGTGATCTTGTCCCTTAGAACACATCTAAGTCAAAAATCTCCCAAGAAAGCTTGCTAAAGCCAAAAATCACATCACTTGCTTCCATTCTTCTTCAAAAACCGAAACCACAACTCAAGGTGAGCTTCATACCCCTCTCTTTTTGGTTTTTATATGTTTTATGGGGGAGAATACAAGAAAAATGTGTAGATCTATGTGTATGTGTATGCTATGTGTGATTTTATGCATGTATGTATGATTTTATGTGTTTTTGTGATGAACATGTAACCAAAAAGGGATGAT